CCCTCCCCACCGGACTCCCCTCCCGCACCCAGGCGTTCGGGAAGCGGCTTCATCTCCTGGTTGTCCTCACCTGGAAAGTGGAGGCCCGGAGGCTAGCTTGGGGGGGGGGGGGATGCTCCGAAGAGGGAGAGAAAGCAGCCGACGTGCTCAGCTCAGCTCCTGGCCGCCGAAGCTTCCATGGGGGACGGCCACGGCTGTCCCAGGACAGTCTCAGCAATGGACACTGAGGGGACCCCGAGTGACACCCTGAGGCCCTGCTTCAAGGGGACCAGGTGTCTCCGCGGGGCCTCCCAGCCTGACGGGTGCGCCCATCTGTGATGTTGTGCAGCCACCTGCTGGGCGGGATGGGAACCGAGCGACTCCGCCTTAAAGGCCTTAAAACTGGTTTCTGCTCTTCCAGGGAAATGCGTCTGAGCGCTTGGCGGGGGGGGGGGGGGGGGGGGGGGGGGGCGGGGGGGGCGGGGGGGGTACAGTCACTCTCCATGGATTGTTCAGGGCCTCTGTTACGCAGATTTTTTTTTTTAAAGATTTTGTTTATTTATTTGACACAGAGAAAGAGAGCACAAGCAGGGGGAGCGGCAGGCAGAGGGAGAGGGAGAAGCACACTCCCCACGGAGACGGGACTGGATCCCAGGACCCCAGGATCATGACCTGAGCCGAAGGCAGACGCCTCATCGATGGAGCCCCCCAAATTTCTCTTTAGTAAAAAAGAAAATAGCCCGTTGATGTTACCTTGGCTTACGTATAGTAGGTGAGGGAGGGTCGGGGGAGACCAAACCCTTCCCATTCTGAGGCTTGGCTCAAGCGACTTTCAGAAAAAGGTGGATTAGGTGGAGAAAAGGTATTGAGTTGGGGCCTGGAGGTGAAAGAGGATCTCCACTGATGCCACCCCAATTCCAGAACCTTCCATCCTGTGTAGAAACGCTCACTGGCCTGGATTCCAGGGGTCCCCACCAATCTGGCCAGGAGGTGGTATGTCTCCTGGGGACTCCACAGCTCTGCTCCACAGCACTGGACGCCCAGGGAGCCCCAAGAGCAGCTCACCCCAGCGAGGTGGTGACATCAGCCCAAGGGCAGCTTCTCAGTGGATGCTGGATCCTGACGCGGGAACCTCCACGGCCAGTGCCTGCAGTTCCCCAACCCGAAGGAGTGGCCAGGGCACAGCACTGGAGCAGGCGCTCCGTGGAGATACTTCCACACACCCTCGGTCCACAGAGCACCGGTGACCCCATCCATCCTCCCCTTTCTCAGAGTCCCTGCTTCTGGAACCCACTGCCACCCCAATCTCCAAGCCACGAAGAGTGACATTGTTCCTAAAAACAAAAAAAACAACCGACAAATACATCACGTGGAAATGGAGATCTTAAAAATGGACTCTAACGTTAAATGAACCAAGAGAATTTACCATTGTAAGAGGCCCAGCCATCCGGTGCCTCTGACTACACAATGGCAAATCTGATGATCTTTGTAGGGTAAGTGGAACTTCTGGGTTCTTTATTTAGATTACGGTGATTCAGTCAGCAAGCATTCACTTAGTATTAATCCTGTGCCAGGGGCCGGGGAGGCCACAGTGAACAAAACAAAACCTCTGCCCTCCTGCAATTTATAGTCCAATGGAAGAGACAAAAACCAAACAACTTACATAAGTAAAAATACATAGTTACACTAAGTTAGGATGTGTGCTAGGGATAAATATTAAGCAATGAAAGGATGGGAGTGCCAGAGGATTGCAGTTTTGGGGAGCATGGCCAGAAAAGGCCTCACAGAGAAGGAAACACGTGAGTGGGCAAAACACAGAGATTTCAAAAAGCATTCCAAGCAAGGAGATGGCAGGTGCAAAGGCCCTGGGGCATGTTCAGAAACAATGAGGCAGCCGGAGGAGAGGGTGGGAGGAAGGGAGAGGGCAAGACCACCAAGTCAGAGATAATCCTAGGGTAGGTACATGGGGTGCTGTAAGGTACTCGAAGGATTCTGGCTTTTATTCTGAGCCAGGTGGGAGCCATCGAAAGGTTTTGAGCAGAGGAGGAAACTGATCCGAATTATGTTTTAATAGGATTGCTCTGGCTGCTGCCAAGGAGAAGCAAGCAAGGAAGCAATACACATCTTTGACTCTTGTCTCTCTCTTCCACATCCAGGTAGCCCCAGAGTTCTGACAATCCTGTCTCCAAAGAACTTAGTACTCCAGATCAGGTGCTCAGGGCTGCCCTTCTCAATCATGCTAGGCGAGCCTGTATTTAAAATCCATATTTAGGGAGGGTGGCTCAGTGGTTGAGTGTCTGCCTTTGGCTCAGGGCGTGATCCCACGGTCCTGGGATCGAGTCCCACATCAGGCTCCCCACAGGGAGCCTGCTTCTCCCTCTGCCTCTCTCTCTTGGTGTCTCTCATGAATAAATAAATAAAATCTTTAAAAAATAAATTTTAAAAATCCATGTTTAATCTTTATACCTAAGCCATTTTTCTGATTACAAAAGGGCTGCATATTCCTGTGAGGTTTTTCAAAAAAATTTAGAAAAGTAGGAAAAGGGAAAGGGCAATCACAGATATTCTCAGTACCTAGAGAGAATCATGAACATTTTGCTGCATTTCCGTCCATTGTGCATTGTGTGCTGTGCTATAGTTCCTAGATCCTTTTTGTTTCTGTTTTACTTGACATTATATTGTAAACTCCTCCTCGTGTCATTCAGAATGCCTTTGAAGACATTCTTTACTGGCTACACATTGTTCTATCACACACACCATCTGAAAACTTTTTAACATAAGAAAATTTAACTCCTCTGTTTGCTGGGCATGAGGCTTCTTTCAATTTTTCCTCGCTGTTTTTCTATTGTACTGCGATCATTAATTTTTGTTTTATTTTTTAAGATTTATTTACTTATTCATGAGAGAGAGGCAGAAACACAGGCAGAGGGAGAAGCAGGCTCCCCATGGGGAGCCCGATGTGGGACTCGATCCCCGGACCCGGAATCACGACCTGAGCCAAAGGCGCTCAACCCTGAGCCACCCAGGCGTCCCATTATCTTTATTCTTAACTCCTACCCTGATAGTATTAGCAAAAACATCTCAACGAGGTGGGGGGGATCCGCATTTTCAGTTCTTTTGCACTGCAACCCATGCTGGATGGGGCCTGTGGGCTCTTTCCGGGGCTTTTTCCATCAAATCCAACCACCCAGCCTGGCATTGCAGGGTCTCTACAAGCCTGCTTCTAACTCTCATCCTGCCTCATCTCCTGCAGCTCCTCCCTGCTTCTGGAACCAACAGCCTTCAAAACACAGCCTCCCTGCCACTCCCCAGCAGGACTTCGTCCTCTGCCTGTAACGCCGGCCACCCCATTCCTGCCCATGCAGATCCCACACGGTCCTCCGCGGCCCTACCCCGCATGACTGGCTCGCTGCCCTGTGAGGCCTCCAGTACTTGTCACCCATGTTGCCCGGCAGGCCGTGCCATGTGGGCGGGCACTGCATCCGGCTTGCTCACTTCTCTACCCAGCATGCCCAGCATGGGGCCTGGCACACGGTATACAGCACACAGTGTGCTCAGAGTGGTCACCAGTTGGCTCCGTTGTGTTCAGTCAGCGACACCGCCTCTTGAGCTGCATCTGAATCTGACCGTGTCTCAGGACTTCTCCTGCGTCCTCCTTAGAACAAGCCACCACCGTTTCCACTCTGTGGGTAACTACAGCAGCCTCCTGCCCTGTGTTCTCTCTTCTCTCTTCCTCCTCCACCACCCAGCAGCCAGAATATTTCAGGAACACATGCCAAGACCACTCCGGCCCCAGGGCCTTTGCCCTTGCTGTGTTCTCTCCTAGTGGCCACGTGGCTCATCTCCTCTCAGTCAGGTCTCTGTTGAAATGTCACCTCAGCAGAGAGGATTTCTCTGAGCACATCTGATACAATGCAGCATGGCCTCGTCTGTTCATTCTGCTTGGAGGAGCAACACCTGTCACCTCCTGTCCTTTCATTGTGCTTTATTTCTCCTTATAGTTCTTATTACTGTTGCTGTTATTTTAGTCATTTCTTTATTATCTGGCTCCTCACACTCAAATATAAGCCCCAGTAGCACAAGGATGCCGTGTGTTTGGTCACTGCTCCATCCCAGGTCCCGGAGCTGCACCCAATATCTAGTTGTCATTGGTTAATATTTGCTGAGTGAATGATGCATCAATGAAGGTGAGCTTTTCTCTCTATCCCACAGGATGAGGAGAGGCTTAGATCTCCAGGGAGAGCAAGGAGTGGATTCTGGAGGAGGATCTCAGTCTAAGCAAAAACCCCAGGGGGGCCCTGGGTGGCTCAGTGGTTGAGCTTCTGCCTATGGCTCAGGTCATGATCCCAGGGTCCTGGGATTGAGGCCTGGATCGGGCTCCCAACAGGGAGCCTGCTTCTCCCTCTGCCAATGACTCTGCCTCTGTGTGTCTCTCATGAATAAATATAATATTTAAAGAAAAAATAATCCTGGGAGAAGTCCCATGGCAGAGCTAAAGTCTGAAGGCTTCCTATACACACAACAGTACTGTGGTGGTTTTAAAAACACATCCACATATTTTGGGGTACGCCTCCCTTCAATAGGTGCAGCTTACTTCCCCTCCTGAGGGTGCAGGCTGGACTTACTGGCTTCTAACAAACGGAAGTGGTGGAATGGCACCTCCAAGGTATGATACAAGAAGCCTGTGGCTTCCCTCTGAGGGGTCTCTGTGTAGTTTTCCTCCATTTCTCAGATCACACTCTGTGGGGGAAGCTGGCTACCATGCCGTGAGCATCCCCATGGACGGGTCTACACAGTAAGCAACTAAAGTCTCCAGGTGATAGCCAATGATGAATGGAAGCCTGTCCACAGTCACGTGAGTGGGCCTGGAAGCAGATCCTGTGGTCCCGGATGAGTCTGCCGCTCTGACTGCCTGACAGCAACCTCATGACCGACCCAAAGCCAGAACCATCCAGCCAAGCTGCTCCCAGGTTCCTGATGCTCAGTGCTTATGATGTAGTAACTATGTATTGTTTTTTTGTTTTTGTTTTTAAAGATTTATTTATTTATTCATTCAGAGAGAGAGAGAGGCAGGCAGAGACACAGGCAGAGGGAGAAGCAGGCCCCATGCAGGGAGCCCGATGCAGGACTCGATCCTGGGTCTCCAGAATCACGCCCTGGGCTGCAGGTGGCGCTAAACTGCTGCGCCACTGGGGCTGCCCTACTATGTACTGTTTGAGGGTCATTTGTTCCACAGCAAGAGATGACTGATACAGTCCGTCAGTGTGCTTTGCTCAGTCCCATGCCATAGGTAATGCTGCATCACTGGTGGCTGTGAGACCAGTTCCTAAACTGGCTGCTGTTGGAGCAGGTGGGAAGAGCACATGGCCAGTCCCTTCTGGGCACCAACAATGTGGTTGGTGTGTGTAGTGAGATATAGGCTTCTGGGCTGGACTCGGCGAGATTTAATCTCACCGACTGTGTGATCCGAAGCAAGTATTTTAACATTTCAGAAACTCCTTTTAATCACTTATAAAATGGTAACAGTAAAGCAATCAGGCATGTGGTAAAGATTACAGAGATTAATTCCGCCCGCTGCTCAGCACAACCTCTGCATACCTCTACAGCTCATTCTCTTTGCCATTCTTTTTTCTTGCTACTCACGTGGCAAGTCTTCCCTGACTACTAACTCATCTCAAAATTCCAACTACAAAAATCATTCATGAATCTCAAGCCTTATTTTTATTTTTTTATTATTTACTTATTTTTTTAGAGAGGGAGGTGGGGGAGGGGCAGAGGAAGAGAGAGAATCTTTTAAAAAAATAAGATTTCGGGATCCCTGGGTGGCGCAGCGGTTTGGCGCCTGCCTTTGGCCCAGGGCGCGATCCTGGAGACCCCGGATCGAATCCCACGTCGGGCTCCCGGTGCATGGAGCCTGCTTCTCCCTCTGCCTGTGTCTCTGCCTCTCTCTCTCTGTGTGACTATCATAAATAAATAAAAATTTAAAAAAATAAATAAAAATAAATAAGATTTCATTTACTTATTTGTGAGAGAGAGAATAGAGGGAGAGGGAGAAGCAAACCCCATGGAGCAGGGAGCCCAATGTGAGACTTGATCCCAGAACCCTGGGATCATGACCGCTGAGCTGAAGGCAGATGTTGATAAGATGCCCACCCACTGAGCCACTCTGGTGTCCCTCAAGCCTTATTTTTAATCAGGTGGATTTACTGTGACGGTAGTAAAATTCAAGTGTGATGGCCCCTCACTTACATGTACCCCTTTCAAGGCCTTGTACCTAGTTTCATATTCTTAATTTTGTATTCTTTTCCCTTAAGAGAGGTCTCTAATCACAATAAAAATATATCACACTCTATAGAATGCAAGTAAAGTAGTAAATAAGAAAAATCAGGGGTGCCTGGGTGGCTCAGTTGGTGGGCATCTGCCTTCAGCTCCAGTCATGGTCTGAGGATCCTGAGATGGAGCCCCGCATCAGGATCCCCACTCAGTGGGGAGTCTGCTTCTCCCTCTCCCTCTGTCTCTCCCCTTGCTTGTGCTCTCTCTCTCTCCCAAATAAATCAATAAAAATCTTTAAAAGAAAAATCATTGTACTAAATACATTTATCAATAAAAATAATAAAATGAATTCAATTTCCAGCTCAAAGCACTTTAAAAAGAACAAAGTAAGCCAAAAGAAAGCATAAAAAATAATGATAAAAGCAGAAATAAATGAGAGAATAGAGAAATAGACGTAACTAACAAGCAAAATTCTGTTTTTTAAAAAAGTTAACAAACTTAACAAATCATTAGCTAACTTGATCAAGATAAATAGGAGAGAACACAAACACCACAAAATAAAAGATGTCAAGAGGGAAATAACTATTGCAGCAGAAGGAAAGTTTACAATTGTAAGAGACAACTTCACAAGACTTCTTTGCAAATAAATCTGGAAAAACATGTCAAATGGATGATTTCCAAGGAAAATTAAAATTACCCAAATTGACCACCATTAGAGTTAGAAAATTGAAATGGACCAATTCCATTTAAGAAATGGAGAAATTTATTAAGGAAACAGAAGCACCAGACTTTCCACAACAAAATCTACCACACCTTCAAAGATCAGATAATTCAATGCTCTTAAAATATTCCACAGCATTGAAAAGGAAGGAAAGCTTCTTGTTCTATGACACAAATATAACACTGATAGCTAAACAAGAAGCAATACAGATAAATATATAGACCAGTATCATTCATAAGTATCCCTGTAAAATTTCTAAATGTTAGCAACAATGAGTCTAACATCACATTAAGAAAATAATATATCAAGAATAAGTGGTATTTGTTCAAGAATGCAGTGTTGGGTCACTTTTACAAATCCATTAAAACCACAGTCCACATTAATAAACCTATGGCCAAAAAAATCATGATTATCTCCATAAATGCTGAGGATAATTCAATACCTCTTCACAGAAGAAGAAAAAGAAGAAAAAACACTCAAGAACTTAGAGAACTTGTGGTATTTTCTTAACATGATGGAATCATCCTAAAGCTAATATTTAATAGGAAAGCATTGGAGGCATTACCTTTAAGATCAGGAACAAAGCAAGGATGTTCACTAATCTCCACTACTCTTTGACACTGTACTAGAGATACAGGCCAGTGCAATTAGACAAGGGAAATCAAGTTGAACCATAAGAACAAGTGAAGTGCGAAGGTTTTCTTATGAAGATTACCTGAACTGAGTTAATTTGACAGCTCTTAAAGGGCTCCCAATAATGTTGGTCATTATTACCATTTTTAAGTGATACATCGGCGTTAATGTTACAGTCACTTAAGAGTTCCTGCGACTTGTTTCCTTTACCTTCTCAGAGTTCCATGCTGTGGCAGTCCAGGGAAAAATAAGCTGTCTGTGATGACAGAAGGCAGAAGACATAGGTCAAGGTCTTGTATTTTGGCATTTTCAGGTTCTGTGATATTCAGCAAATGAACTAACCTCTCTGGATGGTGGGTTCCTCATTTATAAAATAAAGAGGCAAGCCTCTGTCCTTGACACCTCTGATATTGTGGTTTATGATTTATTGTTGAAAACCCACTTGCCTCCACCAAGCAGTGGGAGAAACAGCTCCTGTCAAAAGCAAAAATAATTCCAGCACCTCTACTTGCTTGGATCCTTTCCTGCCAGATATGTGTCCCCACTCTCACTATAAAATGCTCCCTTAGCTCCTTCTGAATTTATGTTCAGTATCTAAAGACGCTGGAAAATCTCCATACACCTGGGACCTACAGCCACTTTTTCAGAGAGAAAAGAACTATGATTCACCCAGAACTTTGGCCCTAGCTCTCTTGTTAGGGCAAAACACAAAAGATCTTGCCGGTTATTGGAATGAAAAGAAGATTCGTACCAAGACAATGACATGCCTGAGGCCAGGGACACAGTGTGGCAAGAGGCTCTCACTCAGAAAAGGAACCCATCAGATTCTGACAAAGACTCTGTCCTTGGCCAAACTTGAATTGGCTCCTCTGAGTCCTCTTTCTGAGGACTCAGGCTCCAACCTTTCCGACCAGGCTCCAACCTTGAGCTCTGTCCTTGGCCTGCTCGGTCTTTTTTTTTTTTTTTTTTTTAAGATTTATTTATTTATTTATTCATGATAGACAAAGAGAGAGAGGCAGAGACACAGGCAGAAGGAGAAGCAGGCTCCACGCCGGGAGCCTGACGCAAGACTTGATGCTGGGACCCCAGGATCATGCCCTGGGCCAAAGGCAGGCACCAAACTGCTGAGCCACCCGGGGATCCCCGTCGGTCTGGTTTTAACAGGAATCCTGCGGGGTCTGTTGAGCCGAAATCCTACCCACCTTCGGGATCTGATCACTCTGGCCTGCCTGCAGAAGAGTCCTATTGAGTTGGTCTAGCAAGCAACTCCCACCCCTGCCCTTATGTCTCCTCTTGTCATCTTCCAGCCACTGACCCATATCCCTGCAGTCTACTGCATTTCTTCTTGACATCTTCCCTACCAACCTCATCAGGTGTCACAAATACTGTTGACCACCTGATGCCACAAGCCCAGGGCTGCTGAGCATCACCCTGAGGCATCCCCTGCCAGGACTGTTTCACAATCTAGGATGAAGGAAGGATCCCTTCAAACCATTCTGATAGATCAGGCCCCAGCACCTTTGGTCTTCCACGTTGCCCAGAAAAGAGAATCCAGCTCATCCTGCCCCTTGAGGCCGGGGAACGGTTCAGCAGCAGCCAAGAGAAATGTCACTTTGCACTTAGTATTCATCTACTTCTCTGGTCTGACCCCCTCTCCCGCTCAGCAGTCCTTCCTCAGCACCTGGCGGGCTGCCTGTACTCTGTGGCTCAGTCAACACCTGCTGAATGAGTGTGGGGATGAAGGCTCCTGCGGAGAGAGAAAAATGCAGGAAACATGGTGCTCTCTGGCCCCAGACTTGGCTTCCCTTGCAGCAGCTCCACATAAACAAAGATGCCCTTGTCAGAGCCTCTCCCTCACCCCCCCTGCTTTATTCTGCATCCTCCTGTTTGGGTGGTGGGGGGGTGGGGCGGGATGGAGATGCACTCCTTTGTTCTGTTTCCCCGAAATTGCTGGGTGGAGACCAGAGCTACCTCCTTTCTCTGCCAGTTCTCCCAATCCCTGGGGGACCTGCCAAAGCCCTTCTGTGCCCGGGGCTGCCTCTGCTCTCAAGTACCCTCAGAGACACGTGGGTGCAGAGGGAAGGGGTCTGCCTGTCTTCCCAACTCCCAGGCTTCTTTGGTGTCCCCAGGACGGAGCACCCAGAACGGACTCAAGCCCGAAATGACCCCAGGAAACCAGGTCTAGAGTCGGAACCCACACACACACTGCTCAGAGTTGGGGCCACAGACCCGAGGCCGAGGACCCTTTGTTCCTGGTCCCTGAGGAGAGCAAGCTCTGGAAATGCAGCCTGCTGGTGTGAGATGCTGGGGGGGGGGGGGGCAGGCTGTGCCTGGGTGGGGGTGGGACCTGTGAGAAACCCCTGTACTTTCTGTCCAAGTTTGCTGTAAACCTCAAACTGCTCTAAAAAATAAAGCTTTTTTAATACAAGGGGTTGGGGTTGCATTTTGTATGTCTTTTTTTTTTAAGGGAAATTTTTTAAAAAGATTTTATTTATTAGAGACAGAGAGAGAGAGAGAGAGAGAGAGGCAGAGACACAGGCAGAGGGAGAAGCAGGCTTCACGCAAGGAGCCCGATGTGGGACTGGATCCCGGATCTCCAGGATCATGCCCTGGGCTGAAGACAGCGCTAAACTCCTGAGCCACCTGGGCTGCCCAGTATGTCTTTTTTATTTTTTTATTATTACTATTATTTCATTTTCCTGGTAAATCAGTGCTATGGACTGAATGCTTATGTCCCGCAAAAATCCATATGTCGAGGGGACGCTAGGGTGGCTCAGTGGTTGAGCACCTGCTTTTGGCTCCAGGTTATGATCCCGGGGTCCTGGGATTGAGTCCCCGCAGGGAGCCTGCTTCTCCCTCTGCCTGTGTCTCTGCCTCTCTCTCTCTTTCTCTCTGTCTCTCATGAATAAATAAATAAAATATTTTTTAAAAAAATAAAAATAAAAAAAAAATCCATCTGTTGCAGCCCTAAGCCCCAGGGGGAGGGTCTCCGGAGGTGGAGCCTTTGGCAGATAACTGAGTTTTTGTGAGGTCATGAGGGTGGAGCCCCCATGATTGAATCAGTGTCCCTAGAAGGGGACGAGACCAGAGTCTCTCTCTGTCCCCAGTAAAACACAGCAAGAAGGCACCATGGGCAAGCCAGGAAGGTGGATGTTCTCACCAGACACAGACTGTGCCGCCACCTTGATCCTGGACTTTTCCAGGCTCCCAGAACTGTGAGAAATTAAGTTTCTGGTGCTTGAGCCCACCCAATCTCTGGTATGATGCTATAACTGTCCTAAGCCGACTAACACCATTTTCCATCAATTTATTCTAATTTACCAAAGCTTCGGTCCATGACAGGTTGGAGGGTCCATGACAGGTTGGATGGAGAGTCCTTCATCCCAGGTAGTGTGGGAAGCTCTGACCTGTACCATAAGCCCGGGTCCAGGAGCCGGAGTGCTGGGCTCCTGCTGCTGCTCCACTCTTGGCTCTGGGCCCCGGCTTCATCGTCTGCAAAGTGAGGGTGTACAGTGATTGGACCCAGCCAATGTGGCTGTTCAGCACGTTTGCTTCTTTTTCTGAATACGAGGGGCTATGGACACCTCTCTCTCCAGTCTCACCATTGGGCAGGGTGTTCCAAGGAAAGCAGGTCTTTGAAGAAATTCTGGCAGCCAGACACCAACACTCACTGACATGTCTGCACAAAACAGTCTGTAAGCCTGGAAGAGTCCCACGTGGTCCTCAGACACTCGGACACACAGCTCGTGTGAAAGGGTGAGGCAGACATGACACCATTACGAAGGAGCAGCCGTGTCCTGATCCATCCCTTGACAATCTCAGCTTCCTCCTCCCCACTGAGGCAGAGGCAATGGTGATGGTACTGCCCAGCCACAGACCTTGAACTTCCCCAGTGAAAACTTCTTTCAAAAATCCCTAATTAATCAGCCCTCTGGTGTAATCTTGATAACCACATTTGAGATGCTTTGACAATGGGATGACTGGGTGACGGGCACTTGATGGGATGAGCACTGGGTGCTATACTATATGTTGGCAAAAAAAAATATATATATATATAATTATATATATATAAAATATATATAAAAATTTTAAAAATGAGATGCTTTGTCACTACCTCTGGACTGTGGATTCTGAAGGGACTCCCAGATGCAAATGGGCTGCCCTCCCTGCATATATTCAGTTATGTATGAATATGTATACCACATGAAAATGCTTAAGTATTTCAAAGTATACCCAAACTAACAGGGAGATGAATTGTATAACCTCTAATTCCCTCCCAGGGCAAAAACAACAACAGCAACAACAATATATATATATATATATATATATATATATATATATAATATAAATATTATAAATATATATAAATATAATGTATATAAATATAATATATGTAAATTATAAATGTATGTATATATAATTTCTATTAAAATTATATTGCAATTTTTTTTTACTTTAATATTCCTATAGTCTGAGAAGAAAGATGGAAGTCAGTTTTCTGACTTCATCAATACCTTCAGATCTTGGAAATACACGGGACATTCCCAGGTGGCAAGATCAAGTCTTCAAAGCAGAGACAGGTCCCCACATTCTTTTTTTTTTTTAATAATAAATTTATTTTTTATTGGTGTTCAATTTGCCAACATACAGAATAACACCCAGTGCTCATCCCGTCAAGTGCCCCCCTCGGTGCCCGTCACCCATTCACCCCCACCCCCTGCCCTCCTCCCCTTCCACCACCCCTAGTTCGTTTCCCAGAGTTAGGAGTCTTTATGTTCTGTCTCCCTTTCTGATATTTCCTACCCATTTCTTCTCCCTTCCCTTCTATTCCCTTTCACTATTATTTATATTCCCCAAATGAATGAGAACATACACTGTTTGTCCTTCTCCGATTGACTTACTTCACTCAGCATAATACCCTCCAGTTCCATCCACGTTGAAGCAAATGGTGGGTATTTGTCGTTTCTAATGGCTGAGTTATATTCCATTGTATACATAGACCACAGCTTCTTTATCCATTCACCTTTCAATGGACACCGAGGCTCCTTCCACAGTTTGGCTATTGTGGACATTGCTGCTATAAACATCCGGGTGCAGGTGTCCCGGCATTTCATTGCATCTGAATCTTTGAGGTCCCCACATTCTCCTGCTGTGTGGCAAGTGATGCCCTCAGTCTATGTCCCCCTTTCCTCTTCTGGTGGGTGCTGGCAAAGTCCCTTTCCTCTGAATGGCCCAGCCCATCTCTGGGACTGAGGCTCGTAGTGGCGGTTGGAGGTAGTGGTCCAGGCTCCAGAAGGGGGAGTGGAGGGATGCGGCTAACCCACTGCCCTCCCAGAATGGGAAAAATCATAAACTTAGAGAGCTGAGAAAGCCCAGGTTATAGGAGCCACACCTGGAGACCACAGGCTGGGGGGGAGGGGCAGGAGGACGGCACCTAGGTGGCGCTATTTTCTATCTGAGAGCCTGTGTTAGGCAGGGGCTAGTAGCACAGTGGAGCCCCCACCGCCCCCTCGAAGTGGCCAGGCCCGGGGAGCAGCTACGATGCTCACAGCTAGGGCTTCTGGAGCAATCAAGAGATGGCTCAATTGCACAGAGAAGTCAGTGTCTGCGGGTGGGTGGATGAGAACAGAGCAAGTGCCATGGGGAAGCCCCCACCAACCCCCTCTACTGACAACAGCCCCCGAAAAGCCAATCAGTCCCCTCAGCTCTCCCTGGCTTCCAGCTCTGCCTCCACAGCCATGTCTTACCTCCAGCCCCCACCCCCCCAACGCCTCCAAACTGTCTTTCCCTCCTCGATTACTCGGTCCCCAGGCCCCTCCACACTTCCCACTGTGGCCTGGCCTGTTGGTTTGCAGCGCCCAGGGCAGTCTGGGCTCCCGTTAGCCATGGGAGAAGCCTTACCCAGCACCTCGTCAGAGAAACAGGAAACACCCAAGTGCTGCTTACCTGGGAGGCGGAGACCTGCAGAGTGGCTTCTGGAGATGGGCTGCTTGGGTGCGCCTGGGATCTACAGCACTGAACGTTGGAGCCACCTTGGGCCAGGGACTCAGCCTCCTCTTCCTCGTCTGTAAAACAGGCACAGTAAGAGCGCTCACCTCTTAGGCTGCTGGGCGGTGACCCGAGAGTGTGGGAAGCCACTAACACAGTACCTAGAACACAGGGGGTGCCCAGCGAGGCCGGCACTCCCTCATGTCACAGCCTGCACCCCAACCTATTCTCCAGGGGCCCATGATCTCTTGAAATGCAAATTAGATCTGTGACTCCTATTGAAAACTCTTCCGTGTTATCTCACTGTTAGCAGAAAATCCCGCCTGAGGCTCTCCCCTCCACTCCCCTCGATCTGGTCCCACTGGCCTCTGGTGCCGAGGGCCCTTGCATTGGCTCTTCCATCCTCCTGGAACACCCTTCCTGCCCCTCAAAGGCAAGCCCAGCTCAAACCTCATCTCCTCAAAGAAGACTTCTCTATCCCCCAGTCTGTAGTCCCCGGGAGAAGGCAGCCCCACATAGCTTCTCAGCTAAGACCTGGCTGAACAAAGAGAAGGTTGCATTGTTATGGGGGCGGGAGGGGTGCTTTGCAGGTGAAACTGGCCTGGTGGCCTGCTGGCACTGAGCAGCTGCCCCACTGCCTCAAGTTCTCAAACCCTCCTAAGGAAAGGCCTGGCCACTTGCGAACACACAAATATGGTACAGCGAGCCCAGAGGTCCAAAGTACACATTTTTATTCTCGGTGGGGACTTAGCCATCTCTAGTTTTGCAAGCAGGAATAAATGGAATCCACAAGAACCTCTCCCTCAACATCTTTCATTACTATTTATCACTGACCGAGTTTCCCATTTTTCCTAAAGAGACTGTGACTTGGGGGTGCCCTAAAACGAAGCTTGACAAGTGCAGCACATGGGGGTTAGTCATCCTGCGTCTGTGCCCACTGCTCCCTGGCTGAGACACCAAAGGCTGCGGAGGCTCTGAGTAGCGGCCCAGCAGTTCTGTCCTTCACTAAGGGAGGAACTCAGGTCAGCCCAACAGCCACGGGGAGGGAGGCAGGCAAAGAATCTTTAACCCAGTTTCTGTCCACGGGACCTGGGCACTTGGCCGAGGCTGGAAGGATGCTGCCTCCACCGCTTCCAGCACATCCAACAGCCAGATGGGCCTGCAAGAACCTGCTTATCCACCCCTGTATGTCCTCAGTCAGCAGAACACGGGAACAAATGTCCTCTGGAGTGCCCCCCTTCTGAGAGGGCGTGTGCACTCCCAGCCAGGGCGCTCCAAGGTCAGGAGCAATCATCCTGCTGCCATCGGGGTCCATCTTCCTTCCTGCTCCCCACTCAGGCCGACGGGGAAAGGGGTGCCTGGCCCCCCAGGTTCACAGGACGGTCTCCCGGATGACACCGATGAGGCTGTGGGGCCGCTCAGCCTCCGCCGCTCGCCGGGGCCTCCTCTCGGCTCGGGGCCTCCCCGCAGGGACGAAGGTGCTGAGGTCTCCGCAGCTCCGCAGGTGCAAGAGGCCAGGTTGTCTCCGCGATGGTGGCACATGGGCCCGGGAAGTGCTGTGTTGCAACGGGGCCATGATCTTGGGGAGAATAAGTGGGGGAGAGAGACGTCAGGCTCCACCAGATGCGGCCCTCCAACCTGCCTCCTTGATCAGCCATGCACTGCTTATCTTAGTTGCTTTTGGAAAAGATCATAGGGTGTTTTCCCAAAGTGGAAGGCACTTGGAGTTCCAGAGATACTTTCAACAGACTCCCACTTGCCTAACATTCCTACGAAATTCCCCAAATGTTCAGCTGCCGACCTGCCTCACTTCACATCCCTGATTCATCCGTTGCAGGTTCTTGCTTTACATTTAACATTCTTCTCATCATTTTTATCCAATTTCCCTGGGGTCTGAGACAGTGGTTCTCACCAGGGTCGCCGGTTTCTGGAGAGGAGGGGAGTGGGTAGTGTGGATTCCCGACTCCCCCACAGCAACTGGGATGCAGCATCTCTAGTTCTAGTGAGTACCCAGGTGATATGGAAGTTCTTGAAAAGTTGATACCCACGGATCTGGCATTGTGACCTGCTAGTGAGTTTATAAAATGTCAACCCCAAAGCCAGTGATGCTTCTGATTGACCAGATAACCCTTCAATTAAATAATATAATAATAATAATAATAATATAATAATAATAAAAGCTAGGCCAATTTATTTGTACAAATGCTTAAGAATGGTTCCACTGTAAGATCTGTTTTACAACGTAGCACATACGTAACTTTAAATATGTATACAATATCACTTACTTTGGAAAATGGCAAACATAGGGAAACTCTTCATCCATCTGAGACTGAGCAGGGGAGATCTGTCCAGTATGTACAATTACCAGGAGTTGCCTAGTCATGACTATAGGACCTACGATACTGTTATCACCTTGAGAAAACCCAGGCACTTCATTTCCACCTAAGGTCACAGAGCAGTCCCTGGGATGCCTTCTGGTTTAGTTTGCACCATTCGGAGATTTTAAAGTCATTAGAAGTTTAATCCCTCCAAAAGATGGGACATTAGATTTTGCTATCACACTGTTATTATATTTGTCTTTAAAGCCCTGTCCTTTTTTCTTCATTAAGAAAACTCCAACGTACACAGATGTCAACTGTTGCTACACATAAGTTAAGGCAAGTGGTTTTGAAACAAATAAACATTTCAACGAATTGAAAACCTATTCAAGTAATACTAGAAAAAATGAAAATGTGCAAAGCTGGGTAGAGTCAGAAATAAAAGCTCTCCTTTTACTTGTCCCTACCTCCTTGTGTCTGGAGGTGGGTTGGGGAAGTGGTACTAGGATGCCTCCTCACTGGGATCAGCTCCTGGGAGGCGCCAGCACATGGCCCAGAGTCCACTGCAATAGTCCCAACACATGAACTTTCATCCAGACTTGGCACAAAGACCCAGCAAACATCTGTAGTGAGAGCATCTGATGAGCTGTAAGTGCTTGTTCATTTTCCCCAAAGCTATTTTCCAGGGAAGACTGTGCAGAAGATCCAGACCAAAGGTTTGGCCAATACTGACTCTTACCTCACTAGAGCTTGGCAGCCTTCCAGGAGTGGCTCCAAGTACTTGCTCTGTGTATTGGGCTATTGGGGATGGACAGAGGGAAGGAGGCTGGGAATGACTTCTGGCACAGACCAGGGTTATCAGGAGATAAATGTCTCCCCTGCACAGATACTGCCCGCAGCCTGACCCTAGACCACCAGCTGACCACTCTATTAGAAAGCAGACAAGAGGGTCCTCGGTTCATGTAGCTCCTCATGCC